ACACACACACACACACACATAACATACACACCACCGAGGTTATCATACAACTTTCCCAAAAAAACAAAATTGCCCCTTAAGTTTATCACGAGACAGACAGCTCTAAGCCGGTAGCATAATATAAACCATGTTACTTTTCCCTCCATAAACTCAGAACAGTGGGCTGTTGGCGGGTGCTCTGGTTTGGTTTGCTTCTTCTTTCCTACCAAACATCTATCGTCCTTATCTCCCTTCCTTCTTTTTTTATGTGTGTTACTTTCTTGTAACACCTCTAATCTTCTGGCGCTCGTATGACCTTATTGTGTTGCAAGTGCTGTAAATCTCTTACTAAAACTAAACAAGACAGATCTAAGCCGGTAGCATAATTTAAACTATGTTGCTTTTCCCACAATAAACTCGGAACATTATTCTTTTATTATTTATAGTAATACTATTAGTATCTTAATCATCCACGTCCAGTAAGTGTTTCAGTGTTTTCCCGACACCCACAAATCTCGGAGAGTTAAGACAGTGCAAGACACCACTATAATATTATCTCCCCCGGCTGTCCGATGGGATGGTATGAGGGCTGGGCAATGAGTCGCTTTGGCAAAATCCGGATAATATGTTAGTGCACCTCTTTTCAACAATTAAAGGGTAGGTTTTTATTACTTTTAAGGACACGCAGGCTAACCCAGATTTCGGGGGTTTCCAGAAATCTTGAATTACACCAAAAGTGGGCATTGCTCTACATATAGGAGAAGTTTGGTTTCATTTGTGTACATATTAATTGTTTGGTTATAGAGAAAACTCTCCTTGTCTTTTAAATTAACTGAAAGAGGGGCAAAAACGTTTCCTTCTATTTTCTCAAAATAGCATTTTTCGGGATAGCTCCCTTGTGTTTAAAAGCGACCAAATGTGTTATGAACCGCCTCGTCAAAATGGTTAGAATCACTTCGACAAACGGGTTAGAACCACTTCAACAAATGGGTGCACCCACTTTCGCTAACGGGTTAGGAAAAAGATTTTTAATAGGGGTCTGAATTTGGAAAATATTTCATTGAGAATTATCCGGTTATCCGGGTAGGTTATCCGGATTTTGCCCACCACTAGATGGGATGTGACGTGTTTAGTGTTACGTCGTATCACTTACGCCTGGTGTAGCCCAGTGCGCCCCCTACCTACGCTGCGCCACACAGCTCCGCCGGGGTTAAACCCCTGGACGTAACTTTTCCCACGCAGAGGTTTGGGTGGTGGTGGAGGTTACGTACAACTAATTACCTTTGTATTGTGTTTTACTATGTATTATGTTATAATATTATTATAGATTCCGGGGGCCAAAAGGCGGAAG